TGCGGTTAAAGGAAAATGGCGACGGCTACGTTTAGCCGAAGAAAATATTATTAAAATATATACACATTTACCTATTTATGTATTTACAAGTCTCCTACTTTCCGAAAAAAATATTATATATGGATGATATTATTAGAGGTGCTATTGATAGTATTATGATAAAATAACTCCAAAATACTATCAATAACAACTAGATACTATCATGAGCATGTAATGTAATATTTTCTCCGTGCTTTCACCATCATTTCTTCTAAGGATTTCGGTAGGGGTGTATGTGAGTTAAGGGTAATAGTGAGTCAAGTCGATTACTGAGCCAGCTTGAATTGGGCTTGATAATTGGCTGGTGAACTGAGCGCGATGAGTTACTAAGCTAAATTCAAGTTAATCCCGACTCGACTTGTTAGCTTGTGAGCCGGCTCATTTAAATAAATATTAATATAACGTATACTCAAAATATATTAAATTTGATCCTCTTATATTTAATTTATTAAAATTAATTATAAAATAATATTTTATATTTTGTATTAAGTGATTTCTTTTTATATATCTCATAATTGTTCTTTCTATTTGACATTTTATTATAACACTAGCTTAAATTAATATTTTTTTTTCTTTTACAATAAACAAGCTAGCTCTTTAGTCGGCTCAAACTCGTAGACTTAAGCTAGAGTTCGAGCTCAAAATCAATAAATTTAATTAAACTCAAACTCACGATAAGGGAGGCTTGAGCACGACTCAACTCGTTTGAACCCCTATCTGTGATTGCTTTTCTTTCTTTGCAGTTTTAGATTTGTTCTATGATTATAATTTTTTGACACATCTCAAGTATGCAATTTATTTATGACATATTCAAATATTTACCTCATAAATGTTATTCAAGCGATTATTTCATCATTTAAATTTGTTGACATGTAAATCCTATAAAAAAAAGGTTGTATTTGGTCTTGATTATTCTAAACCATACTAAATTTCTTAAACATAACAAGGAATCAAGTATAATGCATTGTGATAGGTGAAGTTGTAAACTAACAGTATCAACGGATGATAATATTATTCAAGTAACACTGAACCAAACTTACTTCATACAACCATGAAATAAGATCTATTAACTAAAACATTTCATTAGCTCGTACCAAGCATTTATTGGAAATGAGTACTGAAGTTTGCAAAGGGAGAACTATGCAACTGTATATGCAGGATAATGTTGAATCTCTTTGAAAGAAAATTTGAGTATTTAAAGATAGAATTGATAGATATAAGCTTTTTCACCATCCATAAAAGTGTTTATACTTTAAAAAATGAAGAGATTTATAAATGCATATCCGAAAATGCTTATAATGGAAGAAATGAGCCGGTCATATCATTTGGCCGGTCACCCCAACTGACCAACTAGCCACCTCGCCGAATAGATCTAACAATGAAAAGATGTCGAGTATATGAAGAGGTGCCAGACATACGAAATGCGTCAATGAAAACCAGTAACTCTCAAGAGCATGATGACTTGTAACTCCCAAGAACATAGTGACTTGTTACTTTTAGGGAGGATGATGTAATTTTTCAGATTCCTCTATGATCTATAACTAGGAGGATTTTTTTCAGGTAATTTGGGGAGTGGGGAACCATTTGGGCTCTCCAGCCATTTGGGTATCACTTTCCCCTTCTTTTGTAAAAAGATCTTTCAATGTATAAAAAGCACCCAACAGCCCAAGGAATACCACCGTCTTGCTTTGCTTGGGGCAATTGTTGTCTCTCTCGCTCTTTTACTTCTTCTCCCTCGGTCTCACGCTCTATGCCTTGGGCATGGTCAACATGACAAGTTTGGATCCAACATTTATTGTGGTGAGCATGGATCGTGCCATCAACAAGAAGAGGAGAAACACTGAGGAGAAGCTCTTTAAAGAGATCTCTACCAAGGAGCGTACAAGGGAATTTGAAAAGCAATAGATCCAACAGCTAAAAAAAAATTCTCTGGCATCCTCTAACAAATAAAGGACTCGAAGAATTCCCGCATATTATTAAGAATGACCATGAAAGATCTCGACAGAATATGACGAGTCGATCATGCCACCATCAAAGTTGCAGTCGTCAACCAACCAACCACCCTGGTCGGTCAGCCTCCCATCATCCGATCGGCTAGCTCATTCTCCTTCCTGTAAAAATCCGATGTGTCGAAGGTCTATCGGACGGCCCACTGTCCCAAATGCACTGATGCTCTCTTGGCTGACCCACTCTCGTGATCGACCCACGGTTTGGCACCAAAAAACTCTCTCAGTCGATTTGTCGTTATGTGCCGGAAAACTCTTCTCTTGGACGATTCGATCTTTTGTGTTGTATGTCTTCTGACCGACTTGTTATATTGTGTCGATGGTCCTCTGTGCTAATTGGTTGTCCCACACTGACCCACAATCATATGTTGCAGCTCTCTCGGCCAACCCGTTGTTCTATGTTTGAAGTCACACAACCAACTTCCTCCCCATACAATTTTCTGTGTTAGTCGTCACATGACCGATCACATCTATTCCACACATTTCCCTGCATCGGTCGTCTTACGTCCAGACTCCTCCCATATGATTTCTCGCACAGAGTGTCGCATGGTCGGCCACCTTTATCCTCACGATATCCCGCACCGGTCACCTCAAGCCAAGCTGCCCTCTCCACGGCACAGGAAGTTCACACAATGTAGTTAAATAAACTAAAGGAAATAAATTCATCTAGAACTCTGATTTTAACAAACTTAAAATCAAACTTACTGACTCGAGTAGATGGACCCAATGGTGCCAAATGAGTTCCAATCTGAACTAAATCATCCCAATCAAGCTATTAAACCATTTTTGGAAGCTTTCTGAACATATTTGGAAGATCAAATGAATATCAAATCTGACGGCTTATAATTGAATCGAGTATCTCGACAAGACAAATCCAACTAGTCCAAGGTCGCTTAATTCTGACATCATTAAGACACTCAAATATCTATCAAACATCGTTTGATCAAGGGAATATCTCTTAGCCGTTCAATTAGAATGGTTTGGATTCCTTCATTATTTACAATCAGAACTTTATAAATAGAACCCTAACCCTCTCTTGTGAGGGGACCAAGAGCATGAAGCCTGAAAAAACTGAAGTTTGGAGAAGGAGCTGAAGTCCAAAATCACTTCCACACTGATGATCCGTTGCCTTTTGGACAACTTCGACCGTCGTCACTGCCCTCCTACCAACTCTGGTCGTTGGTGCCCTCCAACCAAATCCGACTATCATAACCTCTGGCCACTTTGACATTCGTCAACTCTGACCAATTTTTTGTCTACTCCTCGCGACGAAACACAATACAAAGCAACTTACGAAGCATCACCATCATCTTGAACATCATGTCGAACCTGAAGGCGATGCTTGTGACCGATCTCTATTATGGAGCTACAATTTCTTCCACGCACTGATGTTGTAACTTGAGAGGTTGTGTAACACTTTCCCATTTTTTGGGATAAAAAATTGATTTGTAATCACTAGTTTACAGTGAATCTTTTCAATTGGTTCAGACCCCATAGTTTTTTTTTTTCGAGTAATCCAAGTAAAAATTTTCTTGTATTTCTACTCATCATTTTCTATTATCAAAGTATTTGTAGGGTTTTTCTCATGCAACGCTAGCTAAGATGTTAATGAACCACTCAATCACTAAGAATTCTCTTGTAAACATCAATAGTTATTAAAAGCTATTTAAATTATCTATTGTAAAAAAAATAATGAGTTTTTTGATACAATTGTTTTAGGATTTTGACTAAAATAATAAAAATGTCACCCTTATAAGCTATAAATAAATATTTTTTTCTATATGAAAGGGACTTAAATTTAAGATTAAGAGATTGAATATTTAGACAACTTTAGAGCTTTAAGAATGATCACATCCACTAATAGCCAATTGTTATCACATTCTTCCATTGCTTATTTATGGCTACTTGCTATTATTGCTTAGTTGACGTTGTTTGATTATTTTATTATGGTATCATTGTTTGACTTTTATTGATCATCATCTCATCATCATTGTCCCCAAACCTTAATTGCTCAACTACCATTGCTAAAGTTTTATTAACAAGACACCAATAATTGATTGTCATTGTCTGATCATTACCACTTGACTATTATCTCTGGATAACTATTGCACGATTGTCATCTCTCGATCTTTGTCTCTCAACCTTTGTAGTTTGACAAATCACCTCCTTGATTATTTCTATCAAAATCATATGAGGCT